TCCATTATTTTTGTGCAGATATATCTAATTTTGATCAAATTCTCCTCATTGCTATCTTGGTGTTCTCCATAAATATCTCATAAAACTCTTTCAAGTAATATTGGTAAAAGATGAGTATTATATGTTAAAATGATCCCGATATTTTTATCAGGTTCTCAGTTCATTTAATTATGAAGTCTATTTATAAGTCATACCCTGCCCTGCCGTCAGGGCAGGGCAGGGTAGGGCAGAGCAAAAAAGTGCCCTGTGACAGTCTCTGATACATGATTGATTGATTGATTGACGTTTGTTTGACGAATATTATCATCATGTCTTTTTCGTGTATTTCACCACCCGTGCATACGATGTAGCAATAGAGGAGCACATATTATACATATTAATTTCTGTCCTATGGACATCATCAATTTGACAGTTGGTTTATCTAGTTCAAAAAATTAATAATGTTCTGTTAGTTTATCAAGTATTTTTAATGAGAATATATACACATGATATCAATAATATATTCTTGTGTTTTGTGTCCATCAAGTGTTAAACAAATAATTTTTTTGAAAACGATTATCATTTCATTGTAAATTATTCAATATTAATTCTGTTGTATATTGTTTACCTGTAAATCCAATATAATGAAAATTAAAATAAGAAATTAAAATTAAAATTAAAAAAAAAGATTACTCACAAACAAGTTCTCTTTGATGAGTTTCTTCAATAATCTACATGCCTTTTTCATTACATTGTAATGTAATATTAGAACTTTTGAGTACATTTAAATGAATACTTGATGCTAATAACAAAAAAAAAAAAAATTAAAGCGTGCAATTAATAACAGTTAAATGAATAATATAATTAATTATTTGATCAGTTCGACGTTCATATTGACCTTCGTCGAATAATTTAATTCATTTAATAGCTAACTTGAAAGAATGAGGATTTTTCATCATTCAACGTGGATTATTGAAAATTAATATTCCATTCATGCCTAATAATTCACCTGAATCAGATTTAAATACAATTGTCTACTTAGAAATAAAACAAAACATTTCAAAGGATATATTAACTAAAAAAAAAAAGCAAAGATCTTTTTACTGCAATATCATTGATTGATGATGATACTGTTGGAAAACATGGTGGTAATACTATTGTTGATCCAATTTGACATTCAAATCTATAACGTTTGATGATTGCTTCGATTTTAATAAGTAAAATAAAGAAATGAATAATACCGAAGACATAATCATCGTATATCATCATTCTAGATAATCCAACAATGATGAAATTGCTTCTATTTCTCTATCTATTTTACAATCAAAGCGAATCGATTAGAGCAAAGAAAAAATGAGATGAGACAACTACATGCATATGGTACATTTATCTTTGTCAATAGAAAAATAGATAAACACAAAAGAAGAAACAAGTAAAGTGACATATTTTTTATTTAGTACATTTCTATCTATTTACTAGTAACACTTGTCATTTGATATTTTCAAATGGTACATTGTCATAGGAAAGAAAACACCAAGGAAACGCCCTTTTCCTTATATATTATTGTAACAATTATAGAATTATACAATGTACAGAAATACTAACTGTATATATTAGAACTTGTTCAGTTATATGATTATTCTCATTTCTACTATGGTTATTATTTATGTTTTAGATTAGATTATCTATTGAGAGAAAAATAGGAAGTATTATCTTCTGTTAATATTATCTATTTAATACACATCAACCATTGTATGCGATTTGATAATGTATTTTCTTTTATCAGGTTTAGATGATTTAATCATTTGTTTTTGTTTCTTATTTTAAAAATTTGATTTTCATGTCAAAATATGTGGATCACGTTCTCGAATTAGGAATAGAAAAGTTTTGCATGCTCGATTTTAGTAGAATGATCTATTATTCTCAAAGATTTCTGAAGATTCGTTTGAAAATGATAATAAGAAGAATTTTTCGAATGAGTAATCTTTTCCAAATATTTTTCATTATAGATGAGCACGTTCTTCTTCGTAACAAATAATAAGTAATGGTGTCATAGAAAAACCGCTATAAATAAATAAATAAGCCTGATATAAAATACATAACTAGCATAGTATACTTCCGAAGAGTTATGGCGAAAAATGTGTGTTTACTCAAAATGACTCATGATTGAATCATAGTGACATATGTATACATCTTATTTTTTTAATATAGAAGTGATTCATCTTAAGTAAATACTGTTAGTATGTAACTGAAAAATCAATAAACAGTTTACAATTAATGAATCGATCATTTGATTTCTTTTCCAACATGACATGATCGATAATTATAAGTTGTTTTTAACGATATTCTTTGTTCATTCATATTATATCTTATGCTATTGTTGTATATTTATATGATTTAATGACGATGGTTATATAAAGCAATGATGTGTAACGTGTGCACGTGTAAAGTACGCCGTGAAGGTAAATAGAAGAGTAAAAGAAAAAGCCTTTCATTCTCAGTTTTTTACAAGGTAGTATTGATAGAGTGTGACAAAGAAAAAAAATAATGGCAGACAATTTAACTGATGTTATGCATCGTGAATTCAATAGAACAAGTAGTGATACTACTAACGTTAATAATAATAATAATAATAATAATAATAATAATACTAGCTATCGTTCATTACCACCACATGTAGTATCATGGAAAATGTCGAATCAAAAAAATAATCATAACAGTGACAATAGTCAGCATCAACATGCACATCAACAAACAACACAATCTCTTCCAACAATGACAACAACTGATTATAGTCATCAACCATCTTTGGGTATAATGCCTGCTTCACATACTTCATCCAATCGTCGAAGTTTAAATTCAGGATATGATACAGATGGAGCAATAAACACATCTAAATCTATGTTAAAACATCATCATAAAATTGGTAATGGTTATGAACATTTAGTTTCACCAAGATTACCTCCGAGACGACCTAGACTACCATCATCAAAGCAAGTACCAGCTCAAACAAATCTACCACAACAAACTTATCTTACAGTTAATCCATCTACTAATATGACGCAGAATTATGACGATAGAGACGATGAATTGAATCATGAAAATGATGCAAATCATCGTCATATTCGTTTTGGTCGACGTATGCATCACTCACCTTCTTCTAGTAAAAATCATGGTGCACATAATATTCATTCGCCTAAAATATCACGCCATGATAGAATACTTGCTAGTACAAGTTTAGGACAACCACTACGACTTATCTTTATGCGTCATAGTGAACGAGCTAATCAAGCATTAGGATCTGATTGGTTTATTAAAGCATTTCGAACAGGTATTTACAAAGCATATGATCAAAACTTGCCAATAATCTTACCAAAAAGATATTTTGATCAAGCATATGAATTTGATGCACCACTAACAGGTTTATAGATCGACTTTTTTTTTTTAAATACATATGCCATAAAAAGAAATATGATGCATTTTAGTTCGTGGTTTAAAAAATGCTCGTCAAACTGGACGTATTATGTCGAGTAGTAATCTAATAGTTGATTTATGTCTTTCGTCAAGTGCTCTTCGTTGTATTCAAACATGTGAACGAATTTTATCTGGTAAGTTAGAATATCAATAACGTTTTCGTTTCTTTTTTTTTAATATTCTAACTTTTTCATATAGGTATGAATTGTCGTGAACGTATTCCAATTCGTATTGAACCGGGTCTATTTGAATGTCCTCATCTCAATAATAAAATAGTCGAAAGTTTTATGACAAAAAAAGAATTATTAGAAAATGGATATAATATTAAAGTTGAATATAAACCATTAATTCAAAAAATAAATGTACCTGAATCATTAGAAGAATATTTTCATCGATGTAGTATTGTTATGCATGGTATTATTAATCGATATGCTAATTATGGTGGTACTGTACTTATTGTTACACATGCACCAGGTTTATTAGCTTTAACAGATGCTATTAAAGGCATACGAACAAATCAAGAAAATTTTTATCGTACTGTAGCTGGATATCCACCATTAGCTGTTTATATAGCTGAATTTGATGGAAAAAAATGGAAATATTCTGAACAACCATTTTCTATTCCTCTTTTTTGATAGTAACATTTTATGTATTATAATCGAATTATATATGTGTCAATGTTGAATCTAAGATCCGTGTTTGAATTAGTCCAAACTTTGATCAAGCGAAAATCTGAAATCAAAACTCAATGTTGGATTCCGAATGTTTTTGTTTTTTTTTCTAATGAATTAAGACGCGGTAATGATGATTCTTTTGTGCTTAGTCGATTGATCATGAAAGTTTGATTTAAATAATTATTAAAAAAAAAAAACTTTCCATTGATTTCCAATTGTGACTTTTGAACCGGATATTATAAAAGTAAATAACATTAATTTGTTGTAGCTTATGAATAAGAAATTCTGAATTCAACATCGATTTCAAGATTAAAAAATGAGTTTCAATCTCAAGTTTGGACTTGTTTAAACACGAATCTTAGATTATACATTGACATATATATTTATGTACTTACTTTTATGAATTTAATAAAGACAAAAAAAATTCAGATGGCTTTCTATTCTTAATTTCAACTCATACTATTTGTATAAGACTAATCTTTTATTTATTTTTTAATTATTTTCTTAATTGACTTGTTGCTCTTTCGTTCTAACGATAATGATGATATCCTTATTTTATTATAATTTTTAGTTGTTGATAAGTTTGATTTTTTATTGTTAGATAGATTTACTTTAGTCGAAGACATGGTTGATGATGTAGCAAGATTCAATGATTTTGGTAATTGATATTTTATTGAAGATGAATGTCGATTAATTGATAATTTCATTTCTTTTCCATGAAGTTTACAATAACTAAAATAAGCGAACCATGTTGATATTAAAGTAAAACCATCTAATGTTATTGATGAAAATAAAACTGTGTGAATAGGTCTATCCTAAGTTAATAAAAAAATACAAAAAAAATAAAACAATTTAGAAATGAATTTTGATTATTTCTTTTGTTTCCTTTTTTTTTTTAATTTTTATTCACTTGTATCATAAAAAGATCCAATGCTTGTTCAAGTTGATTAATATTTCTATTTTTTCGTTTATCTGATTTAGTAAAAACAATAAGTAAAGGTTTATTTATTAAATTTTCATCAGTAAGTAAATCAAAAAGTGCTTGTTTTGCATCATTTAAACAATTTAAATCAATACTATCTACAGTAAATAAAATAAGATCAGAATTATTAAATAAATGAGGCCAAATATGTCGTTGATGTTTACAACCACCACAATCAAATATAAGTAAATTAATATTTGTTTGCATATTTAAATGAACATTTACAGCTATAACACCATGTGTTGATATATATTTAAATGTTTTAGATATTTTATTTGAAGTTTTTAAACATTGTACAAGTGATGTTTTACCAGAATTTTCAAGACCAAAAACTGCTACACGTAAAATATCTTTTTCAGTTGACGCATGTGAATAACAACCACAGCCCATGCATACTCATCGGAAAAAATAATTTATAATTATTATTTATATTTAATTTAACCTTCTTCAAATGAAAACATCATGATTAACTTTTCAATTGAATGAATTTAACCGGCGGCAAGAAATGAAAGACAAGAAAAAAAAAGCGCCTTTATCTCTTAAAAAAAAACTTTTTATTCCATCCGTAGTTCTATTATTCTAAACACCAATAAGAACTTTTTTATTGTGTAATTGAAAATTTTATTATTTAATTTAATTAATTTTTTAACTTTCATGTTAAATACAATCAGTTCGATTGGTAACATTCAAAGAAAAAATCCATCACAAATATTATTCAAAAATTCTCAATATCAATTGAATATAGAACATCCTAAAACTGAATACTTCGCTTTTACAAATAAGAGTCCATCACTTCGTTCTGTTGATCATCAGTCAACACAATCCAATAGTGATCATGCTTTAGATGATAATGATCAAATAAGAAAAATATTGAATTCGAGCAGCACACTAAGTCATATTACAGTAATTGATGATCATCATAGTACAACAAAGAATGAATATCCATGTTCATTGACACAAATGTTACTTGCATATGCACAACAAGATATAGAAATATTGACAAGTCTTGCACCAAAACGATCAGATAATAGTCTTAATAATATATTGAATGTACTTGAACTACATTTTAACATGTATACTAATGATAAACAAGAAATATATTTCGAAGGTATCTTTCAAATTTTACATGATTTTAAAGAACAAATTACTGAATTAACATTAATTGAAACAATGCAATTATTACAGGTCTAAACATAAAATATTATTATTTTCAATTGAAATGAATTACAATAATATTTTTTTATTCTTTATTTTAGATTGATCCTTTTGCTTCATGTAATTTTGAAAATTTTATTCTTATTCTATGTCATTTACCACCTATTAAACAAGATCCGAATAATTTTTTCATTACATTCAATGAACTTGACTATAATAAAGATTTGTATATAACTTTTGAAGATATTCAATATGTATTATCACATCTGACATCTCGTTTTGATGAAGAAATTATTCGTGCAGCAATTCATACAATAGATATCGATCATGATCAGGATCGTTTATCATATTTTGATTTTGTCACGAGTCTTTTATTATTACAAGAGTGCGAATTAAGCATGAAAACAAAAAAAAACAACAACTAATGGAAGTTTCCGTGTCACTACTGAACAGAAAAAAAGAATTCAAAAATCAATTTAGTTAATGTAAAGAGAATAGAATCGAATAATGAATAAATAAAATACTCAGGTTGATCGTACCGATTAAGTATTTTTTCATGTTTGTCATTGTTTTAAAGAACAAATAGTCTACGTATGATGAAAATATTTTCGAACTAAAGAATTCAAAAAGTAATCAAAAAAAAAAACAATATGTCTCAACTGCATATTTTACTAGTACTAGTGTTTCAAGTACAAAATTGTTGGATGCAAATAGTATCAAGTAAAAATAATTAATATAAATTAAAAATATTCTTTTGTTTTCTTAAACTTAGATTCAACAGTGCCTTGTTCTATTCCATCGTTTTATCCATCAGGTGTTATCGTTGCTGGTACAAGTAGTACCGGTTCTCAACCTCAACAATTGAATTTACCTTATGAATTATATGTTGGTTTAAATGATTCAGTCTATGTTGGTGATGTTGGAAATGATCGAATTCAGTTGTGGTTATCAGGTGCTATTCTAGGAATTACTGTTGCTGGTGGACAAGGTTATGGTTCAAATGCTACCCAATTAGATGGTGCTCGAGATGTCTATGTTGATTCAGCTTACAATTTAATTGTCTTAGATACAGGAAATCGACGTATACAACAATATAATCTATTGTCTGGTTCGACAATTGGTACAACTATTATGTCAAATTTACCATTGAGTTGTCGAAATATGTTTGTTGAATCAACAACTGGTACAATTTATTTATCAGATATGTACAATCATAATGTTCGTCGTATGCCAAATGGAACAATTCTAGCTGGAGGAAATGGATTTGGATCACAATCAAATCAATTATATTATCCAGCAGGTCTCTTTGTAACACCGACAGGAACAATCTATGTTGCTGATTCTTTCAATGATCGAGTACAAATGTCTAGTGTTTAATAAATAATTTACATACAATATTTAATTTCATGTGTTTTTAGGTGGACATCCGGTGCAAGTGTTGGTATTACTGTTGCTGGTGGAAATGGTCGTGGTTCAGCAGCTAATCAATTAAATTCACCTATGCATGTCATTTATATGGCATCAACTGGTAATTTAATTGTAACTGATAGTGGAAATGGACGTATTCAAATTTGGGCACCCAATGCAACATGTGGTATTACGATTGTTAGTAATCAATTTATGTATCCGATGTCTAGTGCATTGGATTTAATGGGTCAAAATTTATACGTACTTGATCAAGTACGTGGTCAAGTCAAACGATTTAATCTTCTATCAAGCAACAGTTTATGTAGTAAGTAGTTTACAAGAAATAGTTATTGCTGTATTTCTTTTGTCTATTTTTAGTTCCTGCTAATTGTTCTATCATTGCACCATCAACAACTACTACATCCGCAACAGTAGCATCTAGCATATTTTCTACAGTATCAGGAACTCAAGTCTTAACAACAGAACAAGTATAATTTTAAAAAAATGGATAATTTATCTCAATAGTAAACAATGACACTTATTTTCAGGTAGATGGAGTAATTCCATCTTGGGGTATTGTGGTAATTACTGTTGGAACTGTAGGATTGGTTGTAATTGCATCATTCATATATGTTCTTAAGACAATAATTACATCACAGTAAGATGATCAATTATTAGCATAACTTTTGTTTGTTATTTCTTTCTAGAACGAAAGTCGAACCATTTGTTTAACTCAAATGTATCTCTTTCAATTCAATGATAGTCTAACTTCATGTCTTCTCAAAAATCAATGTTTTTTTTTTTTTTTGAAATTCAAAAGATAAATATTTACATAGATATGTGATCATATTTTTAATAAAAAAAAAACGCATTGATTCATTATATAATTTATATTTAAATAAAAAAAAATCTAAATCTATAAGAGGTTCTCGTTTTCTAAACTGATTTCTTCAGGCGTAGACAAGTTACATTCACGTGTCTTAATTTTTTATTCTCACGATTAACATACTGTTTTAGTTGAGAATCTCTATGTTAGACTCGTAAGGAGTAGATTTCAAGAAGATAAATGTTATATGGAACAAAAAAACACAACAGTATAAAACGAAGAACACTATATGATATTGATCTTGTGTTTGAATCAAGACTTGTTTATAGATGACTCAGATATCGAATCATCATTTGTCTTGTGACTAGAACGTGTCGGGTTGGTCTCGGACTTGCAACTAGGTAAGATCCGAGTCCAAAAATTTCGAATTCAACGAGCGCTACTTATGACAACAGTAAATAAATTCGTACTATGCAAAGAATTCTAAAATCCTAATCATATATTACAATCTAAAATGTCAATGAACTTAGCATAGTTTATTGAAGAATTTTTCCATTATTAATATAGATGCTATGAAAGATTTCGCTAAGAAAAAATGATGAAGCAAAACTGTTACATTTAATTATTAAATTGTATATATTCGGAGTGATTTTATTGATGAAATTTCAATCAGTTCCACTTTCAAATCATGTAACATAATGAGTGCTTTGCTTGTATATAGCATTTTGATCTTTTTTATTTTCATTCGAAAACGAAAATTATATAGTTTCTTGATTTTTTATAATAATGTTAGTAGGAAAGTTAGATGAATAATTAACAAACGGAACGAATGACGGCAATTTGAATTTGTTTACTAACGACCAGGAACAAGGATCTCAAAAGAAGAATTTTTTTTTAAATAACAGATACTAATAGATAAAGTTTACATGATTTTCTTTGTAGATTCTTGTTTTTTTCGAGTACTGCAATATGGCCATTCCCAAGATTAACCGCTCTGTCTTTTTCGAAATGGAATTTGTTCAATGATTCGCTTCACATAATCCAAATAAAAAAGTTTTACTTGTGTTTGGACGAACAATAAATTCAGGTCTTCAAATCATTTAGAATCTAAATCGAATTCTATTCTGAACTCTATTAATTATACAATTGAAAATGAACCATTCTTTTCTACGCGGATTTCAAAGATATTTGGTTGAAATCTCTTCTTTTTTTTTTTTTGAAAAGTTGGAATAGCTTCTTATGTAAGAAAATAAATATCTTCTATTGAACTGTATATGATGCTTTCAGATTGTGAATCATCTTGATTTACTTATTCATCTACAGAAATCACCAATGTGAAAGCTATTATCAAATACTACATATATAGCTTGACCATCTGAACGAAGAACAACATCCGAGGACTGTTAACATAATTTGCTGCATGGCATATTAGTCTTAAAGTATCCTAAGGAAGTATCAAGGATGATCCTCATTCACACCGACGCCTACACATCCGCAACGAATTATTTGGCCACTCGTCCGAAGCAATACTTATTTAGAATAGTTAGCACATGAATCAGCAATTACTTGTTCTTATAATACTTTCAGTGTATTATCTCGATCATCTTGAGTCTTGCAATTACTTTTATTGTTGACATTTGTACCGTTGAGAAATCAAAAGATAAATCAAATTTAAGATGAACACTATTGGAATATTGTAGCGATGACAAGTCATCAGAAAACAAAAATGAATGGAAAGTACATTTCAGTTGTTCTAGCCTGTAATCCAACTATGTCTATGTCTACACTACTTTTAGTCTTCTTTCGGGTACAAGTAACTTAAGCGAATCATTTTCAGATGCACATGAAATAATTGAAGTAAATACATATTCTAATGTATCGAGAAAAATAATTATAATGTTTTAAAAAGCATTAGCAATTGTTATTATGAAAAATTTCATCATAAGCTTTATTATACATTTAGCCAAAATAACAAAACATATAAGTTGATCAATAATAGAAATGAAAACTCAATCTATACAAGCATACACACAACATAAATATAACGCTTGTTTTGAACTATAAAAAACGACTATAATAAATATTTCATTCTTCTGTTTTCTTGTCTTTTATATTTTTATTTTCATTTTCTTCTTTATGTTCTTTTTTTTCAGGTGCATCTTCTTCTTTTGGCCATTGTCCATCAATAAGTGGTTGTATTGGATGTTCTTTTTCATCTAATTGAACATCTTTCATAACTTCAGTTGCTGTTATTTCAGGATCAGCTTCTTCTTCTATTTCTCGACCCAGTTCACCTAACAATTCTTCAAGATCATCAGTTGAAGAACCAATCCATACCATTTCACAACCAGGTATATCAAGCATTGCTGGTTCAGCTAAGAAAATTATAATAGAAAATATAATTCGAAGAATTATTGAATATTTACCTGGTAACCATTGATATGAACCAAATTTTTTTTGAACTTTTTCTGGAAATTCAGCTTTTTGAGTTTGGCCAAGACCAGCACCAGGTGGATTTTTCTTCTGAGGATTTTTAACAGCTACAGAAAATGAAGCTTCTTTTGTAATATTAAATACATTCTGTACATCACCAATTTCTGATGGTGATTCAAGTACATAACCAATAACTGTACGATTTTGATCATGTTTAGCCATAATATATTTACCTTTACCAGCAATACGGTCAGCTTTAATTGTACGTGTACCAACTGTAGCTGTTTCATAAGTTTGAGCTTCAAGTTTTTCTTCAACTTTTTCTATATCATTATCAGCTTTTTCAACAAAAGCCCAAAAACGTTCTTTTCCAATAGTTGGTAATTTCTTTCTTCCAATTTTAATTAAACGTATTTTAGATAATAAATCATTTTGATTTTTTTCATCTTGTTCTGGTATTAATAAAACATGAAATAATTGAACATCATCAAAAGATAAAGCTTCATCAACATTTAATTTTGGTTTGTCTATTTAATTAATTTTCGTTTAAAAACAAAACATTTTTTTTTTGCAGTACTCGTCAAAAATATAAGATCAACGTATTTTTTTTTCAACGACATCAAACATTTAACTCCAATCCAAATAGTGGCTTGATAATAGCCAATGAAGTTCTTGATGAATCATATTCCGTACGGAAATTTCATAGATGGAGCTTGAGAGAAAGATTTCTCAAAAACCAAACATGATAGTTTTAGATCTCAGAAGACTGAAAATTAGTTTTTAAAAGTAACATCTTAAAAAATACAAAATCCTGAATGAAATAGGAATGGACTGTCGCATTTCCTATGACCTTCTTTTGAAAAGTTATAAGCATCACAGAAAGAAAAAACAAGTGAAATTTAACATAGCATTGCTAAAAACTGCATTTTTTGTTTTGTGTAATGCCTATAACTTTTTAACGGTAGGTTACAGGAAAGGTGGAGACTACTCATTTTATTCGAAATTTTTCAAAACTAGCTTTCACACAATCTGCTGGGATCCGAAAACTACTAAATTTAGTTTTTCAGAAACCTTCCTCTCATAGTTCATCTATGTCTGTTGCGATATGAAATACATTTCATAGAAAATTTCATTGGCTATTCGAACCCCACTATTTGGATTTGAGTTAAATGCTTGGTATCGTAGTAAAAGAATGAAAAATACATTGGTCTTATACTTTTGAGTAGTATTGCATATTAATAATGAAGACTTACATGTGAATAAAATATCTCCTTTTTCAAGAAGTTCTGTATCACTTTTTGTTTCATGGTGATTATTTGTTATTTTATTTTGTTTTGTATCACGTTTTTCTTCTGATGTTTTATCTGTTTTGGCTTCTTTAACAGATTCAAGATCTTCGACTACAATATCATATTATTATATAAAAATGAATTATTAATTTAATTACTTGAATGGTGTCGTTTAAGACCACTACCATTTGTATTAATTAATTCTTCATTTTTCGATGACATAGTATTAATACAAAAGAAAAAAAAAAGAAAATCAATATTATATGTTGAAATGTTTTATATGAGAAGAAGGGCAATGTTTAATACGTATTAATAACGATCTATTCTGTTTCCAGGTCTTTAAGTACGTCTTTCTTTTCTCATTCCTATTTTCGACCGCCAAGAATATTTCAATAGTTCTGTTTCTTTTTTAAATTTTACAATAAAATTTGAAAATTTAATGAATTCATTTTACTAAAAAAAAATGAAAAAATTTTGTCTTGTAAAAAAAATAAAGCCTCTCGCGAATTTTATTTTTATCTACAGATGTCAGGTAAAGAACAAAAATCATTGGATTTCTTAACTATGCAATCGGATAATTTGACATATGAAAATGATTGAATTTTTCAAGAAGAAAAACGAAAAATGTTTCCTAAAAAATCACAAACAGATATAAATAAAAATGATTTTTTACATAATTTGGATGAAGCTCGTGAAGCTCGACGTCGTGAAAAACAGATGCAACAAGCAGCTATTATCATTCAAAAAACATTACGAGGTTATCTTGTCAGAAAAAAATATCGAGATTATCGAAAGTAATCATATTATTTAGATTTTGTTTTTCTTTTCTTATTTATTCTGTTTTTCTTTTTAAATTAAGAAATGAACTTAAACAAATATTTCTTGGTTTTACTGATCCAAATCCACAAAAATATCCATCTTTACAACTTGGTAATAGATTTTTCTGTTTTATATATATTTATTTATATAATAGAAAAAAAATATATATTTCTTTTATAGCATCAACTATGTTTCCTCATTTACAACATTTTCTTCTCTATTATAATCGAATGAAAATTAAAAATAACTCAATAGATTTACAACAAGTATTATTAATAGATTGATTATATTTATTTATTATTTCTTTCTTTAGTTATTATTAGGTGTATTGAATTATATTTCAACAAGTCTAATCGTAGATGATATTAAAGTATGTATTTAAAATAAAAGTATTTTATTCATATTTTCATGTTTATTTATTTATTTATTTATTTATTTATTTAGTATAGTCATTTGGCTGCGTTTTTTAATAAAGAAGTTAATGCACAATGGATGAAACTTAATCAAGATTTCATGATAGTAATACTTAAAGTGCTTGAAACAACAGAACTGACAACAAATGATGATATTAAATTAATTATTAGTTCTTTAAATTATCTTTATCTTATAACTGATTGTCAAAGTTGGAAAGCATTACAAAAAAATATGAGTATGTTTTATAATGATTTAGAAGCCTCACGAGTCTTCTATGGTGGTTCCATAATTTTTAATTAAAAGGATTTTGAGGATTTGAGTAATTTGGCATATTTTAATATAAATATACTAATTAAAGTGGCGAGGAGACCTTTTATTACCAAGAGAGGTTTAAGCGTAACTCGTGAAACACTTAGAAGAGTTCTCTCGGTTTTATTTATGAAGAATATGAATATTTTTTAGATGAACTTCTTCTAAAAACAATGCTTGCTCTCAATCGTAGTTATTTGATACATCTTGGTCAACATAATCTTCTCAAAATTCTTAAAGTGAATTTTCTTTAAAATTTTTTTCAAAATCTATCGAAATAAATTTATTTTATAAAGATTTCTATGATTCGTTGTATGCATCGACGTCTTGAATCATCGATTGTACATAATGTAGCTACATTAGCTTTTAAGTAAATATTATAGATTTTCTTTTTTTCTTTATTTAATATATTAACATCATGTTTCTTCTTTTTTTTTAGACTTTTATTAAACAGTGATTTTAATCGAACTTATCTTATTTTATTTTCTCAAACAATTCTTATCATACCAACTTTTATAACAATGTGTCATGAAAGTTCGCATAAAGTAAAACAATGAAAAATTTTCTTTTGTCTATTCGATGAATATAATTTTTCTATTTAAAGTTATTTTCAATGGTTTGTCAAAAAGATTTATTTAATCATCTTATTTGTATATGTAGTATTAAAGAATCATTTGTTAGTTTAAGTGAAAATATTGATATTATCGAACTTTGTTATATGCTTGGTAAATATATAAATTGACTTTTTTTTCTTTTCTTTAGTATTATATTTTTATATATAAATAGGAAATATTGTTGCACTTGCTAGTATTGATCTAAGTCAATTAGAAGCAATGAAACAACCATTAATTCATTGTCTTTTTAATATATTAGATGTTTGTCGCCAACGACAAACTATTGATGAACAAAGTGGGAAACAAACAAAAATGACTAGTGTTTGGCATCCAATTATTGGTCATGTTCGAGGAAAAACAAGTGGAATTACTGTGTTAGAATTATTTCAATATTTGTTTTCATTTTCTTTTCAAAATATGTTTATTCATTTATTTCAGATCCAATCAAGAAATTGTTCAACGTGTTATTATTCAATATAAATTTCTTTGGTCGAAATCATTTGTTAATATGTTATTTGAATCAATTCCAACAACATCATCAGGAAATCAATCATCATCAATAGCAAAAAAAGAAACGAGTAAATCGATCTCTTTTTTTCTTGGACTAACGATGGAAGTCTCCGAAACTGCAAAAACACTTCTAAGTTGAGACCACGTACGTTTTGTAGAACAAAACAAATTATAAGCACCTTGAAAAGAGTTCAGGCTCTTAGCTCATTACTGTTGATGGACTGTACTTTTATGATAGTTTCAAAATAAATACCGTGGTTTCGCTCAGAAACACCAAGAAAACTAATTTTTTTGTATGAATGTTTCACATCTAATCGTTGTTTCTCTAAGATAGCAGCAAATAAAAAGATCTGAAACTTTCACAATAAACTACTCTCGTTAAGGCTCGTCTCTGTACAAATGACTGTTTGTCTTGGAGCATCCGTCCGATAGCATGCCGACTGTGTTATGATACGCACGTGTTTTTTGTGGTTAGTTAGTATGTATGAGAAACTTAAGCAATTGAGCCCAAGAACTTTACGTCAGGTCGACCTTCTGTCCAAAACTACAGCTAGCCATAATTGTAAGGAAGATATCAGGCTATTGAATCTGCTACTAGACAGCACCCGATACCACAAGGTAGTCGAAAGAAAGAGCTATTTTTCCTTCTTGTACTAAGTTTCAAGTCGAAATTTAAAAAAAAATCGGTTTTTTTCTGTGTTTCTCAAGGGGACTACGACATTCATTTAAAAACTACTGTAAATTTGCAGTATCTACACAACAATAAGCTAACAGCCTGAACTCTTTACAGAATATTCAAAATTAATTTGTGTCTACATAAAGAAATATAATTTCGTCTCAAAAGTGATTAATCAGTTGCGGAATTCGCTCCTCATAAGATTATATTTAATTCAATTTGTTTTTTGTTAAAGATATAATTCGAGCTAAATTTGAAAAATTATTTCATTCAAAAACTACAACAGATAAATTAACAACTGATGAATTAACACAATCTATTTGTCGTATAACAACATTTTATCAAAAATTAATCCAAATATTAATGGAATTAAGACTGCAAATTCTGTGTGGTAAAAATTTTCTTTCATCTATTATTATTTTTTTTTTCTAATATTTTAAAAATTTATTTTAGCTCTTTCATTACAAGATAGTTTAATTAGTAGTTTATGGCAATTTTTAAATAATATTGGTCCAACATGTGGTTTAAAAGAATTATTGAAAATTTATGAAACGAATAAAGAAAATTATCATCCAATATTTGATTTACTTCAATTATTTTGTAATCTTTGTTCATATCTTGCTACGTAAGATTTTTATATTTTGAAATGTATTTTTTTAATGTTTATTAGAGCTTTTTTTTTTTTTGTTTTAATAAAGAGTTTTAGATGAAGAAGAAATGTATAAAGAACAAAAATATTTAACTCTTGAAAGTTGGTCTCAATTGTGTTTATTTCTTAATCAATTTGTTTATCGTTTAATACGTATTGAATTTGAACGAACAACAACAACATCACCAAAATTAAAATTAGAAAATAATCAATTGTATAAAACACTTCATCAACTTCTTATTTTACTTCATGAACGAAATTCAAGAAAATCATTTACACCTGATTCACATTGGCTCATTCGGTAGATTATACTTCATATTGACTATTTCAATGAAAATTACTTTAATAGAAATTAAATCAATGGTTTTCTTTCGAAAATCAGTTTTAGAAAGAAAACGTAATCAATAGATATTTTTATGAAAAAAATTCTTGTTTAATTAGATCAAAATGAATTTCATTGCTTATTAATCGAATTTATTAAAGATTGCATGCACCGATCAGATCTTCATTGGATCGCATGTATTGAAGTTATAATTAAGACATTATTTCATCTCTATCATATTGGTACAAATGTTTTCCGAGTTTGGTTAGAAATCACTTTAAAATAACTGAGATATTATCTTCTCATTAAGAATCGATTATTTTGAACATTTCACTAGAAAGTTCCCACGAGACGACAAGTCTGTCCTGAAATTTTTAAAATTGCAGTACTAAATGAAATTGAGTTAGCGCTACGACATAGATTCACTATCTCACAACATACTAATTACTAGAACCTTGACTATGTGACACGAGCTTTGGCAATAATAAAGTAGACATATGGAACCGCCTTCAGCTCTAGAAAAAAAGCAGTAGTAACTTGTGGAATAGCAAATGAGTCTATACTTTTGTTGAACATGTTTTTCACAAGGAAAAGAACATATGTGAATCATAACTGCAGTAGATGTAAACATGTTTTATGAATGAGAAAAATGTTCAATTTAATCATATTGTTTTCTTTTATATTGAATAGTGAAGTGAAATCATCATCATCATTTATGGCCGATCTTGAACGTGATGATTCATGTGCTTTTTATCTTCTTGAACAGATTCCTCATATTCTTACATTCAAAGATGTACGTATTTTTAAATTTTTTTCAATAAAACAAAGGAATCTATTGAAAAACTATATAGACAAGTCTAAAGTCTACTATATTAAAGAAAATCGAATATTTTCACTTACGAATGTTCG